GTACCCAAATTTTCTATTCCTGCGGATGTATCATTTAAATGTTCCGTTAAGTTTCATTATGTAGCCCGATCTGAAATAGTATACTACGTTACTAGTCCGGAAAATATATCTTTACCGGGCGAGTGGTCGTTACCATACGAGTTTGGTAAACACATTTTGTACAAGTGACGCACGATATTTTTTGTCCTACTACACTATCCTAACCCAAAAAATCCCATACTACTCACAACTCGATTTCATTAAAATATTATACTACTAATCAATTACCAAACGTCGTTTGAATTTGTCCTCAGAAATAAGTGAAAAGTGAAAAAGTTAAATGTTTACTGTGAAAAATCTGTTAACATGATTTGTAAGTTCAGTAACAAAAACTAGAAGGCCCTACGTATTTTTTACTATACAGGATAAGTGTTTTTTATAAATACTGTTGACGCTATTATACAGACATGAGCTGTTCAAAAATAAAATTCATTGGATTTGTAATGTAAATTTTACTACTCACAATAATTACGCGTGCAACTCCGTGTACAATTAGGATAACAAGCAATGTATTCACATTCCAACGTACTGTTCTAACTTTTTAAAAAATAATCAGATTACAGTACTTTGATGGGTTAAATATTAGAGTAAAATGTTACGATTAATTGAACCCTTTCATTTTGAAGTATGAGATGGTATGAGGTATGTATAGTATGGAAATATCATAGTAGGGCGTGATGTCCAAAAAGTTGTTAGTTGAATTACTGTAGTAGGCGCGTTCCTTATCACGTCACCAGACCACAGTTTGTTATCAGGGTATTGGATATACTCGGGGGATGATAACAAGAATAGCCTCTAGAAACATCGACATTGTTCACTTGGACATATCTAATAAAATATATTGTATTGTTATTAGATATTGTAGTGATAAAAGAGCAAATTTCTCCGAGAGTGTGTTTTTAATACAAAGAAAATACTGTAAATTGGTTTACTTCAAAGTATAACTTACCCTCATCCTCATGATCTAAACTTTAACACTTCCTAGTCTTATTATGTTGCATACAAAACGTATACAGATCTGGCTGTATCGACTATCGGAGAAAAATTAACGAATTCAGCCGAGCCAAACACATTGATATAATCAAATCTATATTGGGTAAATTTATTCGTCAGACACTCCATTTAAACTGCTTGATCTATAAGAACCTTTCATAGCGATGTTTGTGTTTAGATAAAAGGGATTTGGCATATGACCCAATAAGTGTTATAAGTGCTACGGTCTGATTGCGAGGGTTATCAAACTAAGGTTATGTAGAATAATACACCTGTATTTTATTTTAACCACTCAAGTCTGACTAGCAGTATTGGCTTAAGGAAAACAAAAGTAGACATCTCATCAAGTTGCTTTAATTAAAAAATAACCAAGTTGAATAACCCATTATTAAATTTTTCTGAAATTATAATTACAAATTTCTTTGTTACGTTGACAGTTTGTGTGACATTAAAGATGTTATTTTGTTAACGAAAAGTTTTCTTTCAGTTTGGTTCGTTCAATTACATCAGCGTACCTAATCAATTGGCTCAACTAACTATGTTGATTATTTTTCTAACACTGGCTATACTACAACTTGACATCGGAATGGACTCTAGTTATATACTTAGTCAAAGCAGCATTTATTGCAGCCCCTTTAATTACCACGACCTATGTTTAAACTACTCGTCATATGATACGTTTGTACCGAACTATCCCAGCTAAGGCCCGGGCCTAAATGAGAGCGACCATAGGTGCGGTGCTGGGTTGGGCTATGCATTGTGAGACTTTCGCTACAAAAACACTATCATACATTCTCATGACAGCAGATATATGATATTGGCCGAACCTTTTGATTTCACCGACGCAGAATCAACCTCAATCCGTGGAAAAATAGAAACTTCTGTCTAGAGCTTAGAACATAATTAATACAGTTGTGTGATGTATATTATAAGAAATAGATTCGTTCATAGGAGCTTGTCGCTTGTTCTCAAACATATGACAGAGTTCAGACATACGACGGAGAACATGGCAAATGTGTAAACAAAATATGAGAAATCGTCTCCAGAAATGTCCTGACGTATCGTTGAGCCAAAAATTACCTTCTATCCATTAAATAAATCACTCCACTCATTCGCCCAAAAGAGCGAAATGTAAAATCACGACGAGCCATTTGAACACAGTCTTGTTACATTTAGTCTGGTATTTGTTCTTGTTTATCTGTTGATTGAAACTTTATCACGCTACGTAACAATACTTTTATATTTTATAGTTCGCCAATACATTGCCGTTTCCACAGTGCCACTATAATACTATATTATATCACTATATTGTTCGGAAATAATAGAACTGATCATCATCATGATTGGTATATATTGTTTCATTTTAGTTAAAATGGTAGAGCTGAATGACGGATTTTTTCCCACGGTTCCAAACAAGTTTTCAATTAACATGGCAGCGGCACCCACCTTGCCACCTCTTGACCCCGAAATTGAGAGGAAAATTAAATATAATGTCTACAACATAAATCAAGGTGTGTCGATGATTGTAGAATGTTACTTAACTGAATCGGACAATATTTACTGAACGCCAAAAGTGCGTTCTTTTTTATATGGTTTGTGCCTCTTTTACATGATTAATTTGAGCAAAGTATCACTTGAATACTTTAAATACTCGACATGTAAGTTAAATTAAATTAGCTAATTACAAGTTGTGTTCAGTAAGGCGTATAATTGGTATTTGTCCATTTACTACCACGAGTATTCCTGTCATCCTATTTTTCACCTATTATAACTTTCGAGTGGCGGAATTGTTATGAAGAAATATACTGGAGTGTAGGGCGGGGCATGGAATGTATTAGTTCTAAGAAAAAATTTTACAATTGTAACTTTTATGGTAATTAGGTGTTTTACTACTTTGTTTGGTTGAGCATATCTATCAGTTTCTTTCATTTCTCGTTTTAGCATGCTTGACTATATGTTATATCTTGAAGGCTGTTAGTTTAGAAGTAAAATACCATTAACAAATTGTTTAAACCCATTAACTTACTGTACGTTTTAGTTTCTCAATAGACAATGGTGGACTATTCAACACTGGTAAATCAGTAATTAAATATCTGAATGTCATTACGTGAATTAAAGAACTGATAATAATGTTTCTCTTGTATTAAAAATACGGACAGTGTGTTTTATTGATGAGCACTACAAGACGTAAACACAAAACCATTACGGCCTTTATGTGTTGCCACCTTTATCGGTAATGCATTCTAAACACCCCTGCCACAGCAAACCTGCAAACTAAGCGAACTTCCATTTGCCTAATTTGATTTTCACTCTTTTTAAATTGCATTAGGTTTAAAGAGTACCTAATAAACGAAAGTGAGTAAGTTGAGTTTTTAATAAAACATTATTAGTTCAGTATACAATTTTGCAAATCTGCTTAGTTTGATCAAAATAAACAGTTTACTTAATAATATGGTGACAGTTAAGCGCACAACAACGTTTCAATGTACTAAATAGTTGTTGTTTTTTTTTTAATCTACAGAATAGTTGAGAAATAAATTGCATAAAATTGTACATGTAAAATGTTATATTTTTAACACTAAACATGGCTAAACCCAATTTTTACCTCATGAAGCATCCCCAATACATTACTGTTCCCATTGTCCGATCGATCTGGTTCTAAAACTCGTTTCTATAAACGGATGTTTAAATTATCGTGCTAACGGACACACACTTACACACTAAAGTAAATTGGCCCGTTATACTGTTGGATGAAGTTTAAATCAAATTCAAGTGATCTATCAAGAAGGAATTCGAAAGGGGATCAACTAAGAATTTTAAAATTATGCATGACAATTATGAAACTGAAGTTGCAAAGATGTTCCATAAGACAAAACAAAACAAATTCCATAAAAGAATCTATGTTAGGCATATTCTATTACTCTCTACTTTTGTCCTTGTGTATTTATTCGTATGATTACAATGTACATACTGATTTGAAGAGATATTCGTTTCGACAATTCCAATTCCCCCCTGGCTCAGTGTATACGTAGTTCAGTTCAGCATGTGATTGTCCGGTCTCACTCATTACGTCACGCTATGGAGCTTCTCTAGTTATGATATGCAAATCAGCTGTTTGTTACTTTGACCACTCCCTCTAATGTCTCACTCACACACGGTGACTGTGACAAGGTCTAACCCATCGCATGATCACACCAGTGGAGAATGTAGGTCTACGGATCAACCGAAACCTAGTCTGAAGTAGTTGAAGTTTATGTTAAGACATTGAGTCTATTGTGGTCAATCGTCGCTGAATTGGCTGTTTTCTATGGGTTCTTACATTGTTTGAAATTCTATTGTTGATTAAAGGTAGTGAACTGACTTTTCAAATAGCGTTATTCAAATTCACGTTAATGTTATACTAACAACCTCCTTCCTATTGATGTTCATATAATTCCGAATAAAAAAGGCTACTTGTAAAACTTTTTATATTATCATTTATGTTGTACCAGCCACATTATTCTTTCGTTACTAACCGTATGTTACTTTTGTTATTTACTTTTTTTGTGGGAAGCAATGATTAAATTCATTGAGACAGAAACATGTTATTTTACAATCGATGAGAAAAAGCATATCATATAAATCATAAAAACGTGTAAAAATTGTTGTTTAATCGTTGTGAGGTTATGACTCGGTCCTAATTGAATAAACAGTTGGTATACAACTTGCTGTATCCCTCCCGTTTATATCGTTTTATTTATGTTACTAGAGACATCTTGCAGTTTTTTGTATGAACTTGTTTATTTGTATCTATCATTATCTAACATCTAGGGGAGAATAATTATTGTATTTCAGTTCAAAGAAGAATGATGATTATCAAAATTATAATCACGTCCATGTATGGTTTACAGAATGCATGGTTCTACATTTGCTGTAGACTACATGTGATACTCTGTGTCACTGTTATCATATCTGTATATGTTGTACAGGTCAAGACAGTGAACCTCCTCTAGGACCTCTCGCTCTACTGTCGTTTCTCTCCCCTACCTCATCAGTCATCAACAACAGTGGCTCCTACCTCAGAGACACACTCACAGCTCATTTCAACACGGGCATCTTTCTCCACGCTAAAGAAAAAGGAGGTAAGCAAACAAGCAATGCATTTTAGTTAAATTTGTCTTTTTTAAAGAATCAGTTAAATTACTATGTTAAATATGTCAAAAATATTTTAATCTATTCGAAAAATTATATTTTTCAGCCCTTTATCCCGTGATACATTTTACGGAAGACCGAAATGCACTCAAGAAGAGGCTTTCTGGCGAGGATACACTCGGAAATGAATTTTTACTTTACCAAGGTGAGTTAATACATATTAAATATTAAAGGCATTGAATGCGTGTGAGTGTTTGGATTTGTATTTAAAATAAACACAATAAATGCGTGGTGTCAACTTTGTCCTTATTTGTATAGGTAATAATCTAATTTATTCAAAATTAAATTTAAAAACTATATGTGAAATCAAGATATATAGATTGAAACTGTAATTTTCTCAATATTTATCTTTGTTGTTTTAAAGGTGTGTACAGAGAAGTCAGAAGCATCAGACCTGAAGGGGTTATCCTGAACGGGCACAGAAGTTCCGTGGAAAGTACCGCGTATATCGTTATGGGATTTAAAAGCCTGGATAAAAACTTTAGCCAGGTAGGTGACTGATTGTTAGTATTTTACTTATTATCATTCAAATTCACATGTCATACTTTGCCATACTTTGCTTTCGTTTGGATTTCTTTGCAAGTTCAAGAGATGGGACTATAGCCTCAACATGTTCTTGTATGTTGTACTCGTGAACTGTTCTCTATATCTATGATGTTGTGTAGAATGTGATGGTTGACTCGTGGAAGGAGTGGACGGGGGCTAGGAACATCTACATGAACCTACCAGACGAGCTAGGACTGAGTCGCATCAGCTTCTACCATCGCGAGGCTCCTGATAGCCTCAACATGTTCTTGTATGTGTACTCGTTAACTGTTCACTATATCTATGATGTTGTGTAGAATGTGATGGTTGACTCGTGGAAGGAGTGGACGGGGGCTAGGAACATCTACATGAACCTACCAGACGAGCTAGGACTGAGTCGCATCAGCTTCTACCATCGCGAGGCTCCTGATAGCCTCAACATGTTCTTGTATGTGTACTCGTTAACTGTTCACTATATCTATGATGTTGTGTAGAATGTGATGGTTGACTCGTGGAAGGAGTGGACGGGGGCTAGGAACATCAACATGAACCTACCAGACGAGCTAGGACTGAGTCGCATCAGCTTCTACCATCGCGAGGCTCCTGATAGCCTCAACAAGTTCTTGTATGTAGTACTCGTGAACTGTTCACTTTATCTATGATGTTGTGTAGAATGTGATGGTTGACTCGTGGAAGGAGTGGACGGGGGCTAGGAACATCAACATGAACCTACCAGACGAGCTAGGACTGAGTCGCATCAGCTTCTACCATCGCGAGGCTCCTGATAGCCTCAACAAGTTCTTGTATGTAGTACTCGTGAACTGTTCACTTTATCTATGATGTTGTGTAGAATGTGATGGTGGACTCGTGGAAGGAGTGGACGGGGGCTAGGAACATCTACATGAACCTACCAGACGAGCTAGGACTGAGTCGCATCAGCTTCTACCATCGCGAGGCTCCTGATAGCCTCAACATGTTCTTGTATGTGTACTCGTTAACTGTTCACTATATCTATGATGTTGTGTAGAATGTGATGGTTGACTCGTGGAAGGAGTGGACGGGGGCTAGGAACATTAACATGAACCTACCAGACGAGCTAGGACTGAGTCGCATCAGCTTCTACCATCGCGAGGCTCCTGATAGCCTCAACAAGTTCTTGTATGTAGTACTCGTGAACTGTTCACTTTATCTATGATGTTGTGTAGAATGTGATGGTTGACTCGTGGAAGGAGTGGACGGGGGCTAGGAACATCTACATGAACCTACCAGACGAGCTAGGACTGAGTCGCATCAGCTTCTACCATCGCGAGGCTCCTGATAGCCTCAACAAGTTCTTGTATGTAGTACTCGTGAACTGTTCACTTTATCTATGGTGTTGTGTAGAATGTGATGGTTGACTCGTGGAAGGAGTGGACGGGGGCTAGGAACATCTACATGAACCTACCAGACGAGCTAGGACTGAGTCGCATCAGCTTCTACCATCGCGAGGCTCCTGATAGCCTCAACATGTTCTTGTATGTTGTACTCGTGGAATGTACAAGTGTGGATACAATAGAACATCAGGTGAGAAAATGTCACTGATGATGTAATTAATATATTTCCCCTTTCTGTAACGACAAACCATCGTCATTATGTAAAATGAATGAATATAGGTTATTTATCTCATCTCACAGCTCATTAACTCGATCATTCACGCTGTTCTGCTATTATTGTACTGTAGCATAATCTGGAAATGTCCGTGTCCTTTGCTGTATTTGTGTGTATTCTATGTTCGGTTGGCCCCCACTAGGTATGAATATTTTTACCCCATTTAGTATTGTTTGAATTGAGAGATTGTAACTAGTCAGGGCCTTATAAAGATTAGTGGTCTAAATGGTATCAACGAAATTGTTAAGTATATTTCATACCAGCTCTAAAAGGTTAACCAATTAGATTATAGCTGTCAATAATCGGATGTTTGACGATACTCATACGTTTAGACACTACAAAACACGTACAACTACAAAGATATAAATCAAAGAGATTTGTCGTGTGTTAACGCTGAAGGTTTACTTTGTTTTACACAACTTTCCGCAGAGTGGCGGAAAAGTTTCAGCTACAAAACAGTCAGTGGGCAAAAAAACTGTTTCTCCTCCACTTTAGATGCATATTTTAACACTAACTGATGTTGAGACTGTAAGATTTTTTGCTGGGTGTTTGGAATATATTGCGCATAAAAATACATCTCGCAAAAAGTTTCTAATTATTTTGAGAGAAGGTTTTTTGCACCTCTGACCAAAATGAAATACTACCAGATAATATGGTAAACGCCAATATTATTATCATTCTCGTAGATATTGTATGTTTTATTAGACTTATGTAAACTCTTAAGCTTGAACAGGAATCCATGTAAATTGGCATTTCTTTTTACCTTTTTACAAAGCAATATAGTTGTAATCTTTTCAACGATACGTAATAGCTGTGTGAAAACCTTGGTTATCAATAACTACTTTTAACTTTTGATTGTTGTAGTCATAAACATGCTGTGTTGCGTTATTTGATATCTAATAAATGTGTTCATTTATTTGTATCCGTGTCCCAGATGAAGCTGATCGACTTCGCTCAAAGACTGCGAGCGGAGCGAATGACTGCATGTGTGACTGTGTACGGAGTGACACTCGTTGACTGAGGTAATATTACTACGTAGTAATTAGTTTCTTACACTATCAATCTAGGAGGAGACTAAGCTCTATAATATTTTTATATGAAAAGCTTTCTAAAAGAAAATTATTAAGATCGGGTATCTCATCGCTTTTTAAAATTGTGCAACTTTAGCGGAGAGTAGCCTATCGTTCTTTGGCTATCCAAGTTCATAATATATTTACGTACAAAATATTAGCAATGTGGGCCTTTTTTCAAACATATAACGCCTAAAAAGTATTTTTTTAATTATTCTGTAAGTGATATTTAAAGTAGTCTCCAAGCTAAAATTCATGCTAAATTTTTATTTTTTGTATTTGAATTTATGGAGCGAAAAAATGGGAATTATGAAGTGGAAAATGGGGATTTTTTATTTATGGAGTGAAAAATCATACCGTCTCAACATCAGTGTTAGTGTTAAAATATGCATCCAAAGTGGATGAGAAACACAGTTTTTGCCCACTGACTGTTTGTAGTCGAAACGTTATGGACTAGAAACTCTCATAATGTCATTTAATATTTAAGTGTTTGAACAATAATAATTATACAAATTATTATTAGTATTTATTTATTAACTAGTGTTCATGTTGCTCGAAATCGAGCGATTGCAAAGTAGTACAGGAGTTATTATAAACAAATAACTTGTTTAAAACTAATTACAGTCATAATTTCCGATGATTTTAAAAGAGTCAATTAAAAGATTATTAACTAATGGAAATACTCACAATTTACATAACAGTGCTATTCTAGTTTAAAGGGTTAATTTTTTACAATCAAACTGCCCATGGATGGGAAAAGGTAAGCTTACAATTTAAGTCAACGAAAAAAGGCGGTCAGCTTTTATAAAGTAACGTACCTACGTTATTTAGTAAATTTGTAGACAATAAGGTGTAGGCTACTTTAAACTCTACAGGACAGAGTTAGGCAAAAACTGGCAGAACTCTGAAATGGTGTTATTCATCATAGGCCTACTCATATGTCAAATCCTTAAAATAAAAATTCAATAACTAATAACTTATATCATGAAACACAAACCAACATCCAAAACTATACACATTTTTAATACAACATGGATAATTTACACATTGACTGTTTACAATTCATATGTTCTTCTCACTATTATTGTTTGCTTCGCAACGGGAAAAATATGTTTCATAATCATTGAAATAGATTTATAATAAATAATCCATCATAAAGTTTAAGATTAAATAAACCTACCACATAGTTGTTTTATTTTTTTGGATCAGCTGTCTGAAATTGTGAAATAGGCATTTGAGAGTTCTGTTTTTTTCAGTCATTTAAATGTCAACTGTTTAGCTGCTAACTCGTGTATTCCAATTTTTATTTTATTGTTAAAAATGCCAAAATACTTACTTATTGTTTAATGCAAAACAGATTGTAAATAAAACTATGTAAAAAAAAAATTTAAATGTCAAAGCAAATGTAAACATTGTGAATTTTCTCCTGCTTCCATGGAGACCAACTATTAATATTTAATTTCTGACAACACAATTAATATATTAACAACCCCCCCCCCCTAATATATTAATATATTAGTTCCCTAGATGGGTGTCTCCGCATTCGTCTGTTTTCAAGGACCCAGTCTTCTTCCCCTTGGCATACTGACAATTAATTACCTAACTTGTCAAGTTCATGTAGTAATTCATTAATACTGTTAGTTTATACAGAAAATTACATAAAAAGTTACTTGGCTTGGTGTTCTAACAACTGCAAACACAAAATACACAAAAAAGCAAAAAGACAAAAAAAGCAAACACAAAAAAGTCAAAAAGAATCAAGTTATTGGTAAAAAAAACCATGTTTGTGTAACAACATTATTCACATGAAGTAAATTATTTGTTTGATTTGTCGATCAGCTGTTTCGTTTCAAATGAATTAATAATGTCAAAGATTTGTGATTTTAAATACATATATTATTATAGTAAAGTTTTCTAAATCATGGTAACTCAACTAAATTTTACTATTGCCAGCATTAAAATAAAGTAGTAAGATCCATTATGAGTAAACTTTAAGGCACTCAATCCTTGATTGAAATGTAGTATACATTAACAGTCATAATACACAACAATTATTATGTAGTAGACTTTGACTATTTTAAAGTAACAAACATATGTTTCTGTAAATAAAAAATACCTCCCATGTTATCCTTATGGAGAAATACGAAACTTTAAAGGGCCCCAGGGCCTCACTCTCTAATTGTTTCCCTAAAAAGAAAGTTTCCTGCACAACTTCATGTTATGCTCTTTCCAATGACACCAAAAACATGTAAATCGGTTCAGTAGTTTTGGAGGAGTAATTGTAACAAAAAACCTGCTTGCGTATTAAATAAGTACTAGTGTAAATGTTGCTCGAATTCGAGCAATTGCAAAGAAGTACAGGGGTTATTTATAAACAAATAACTTGTTTAAAAACTAATAACAGTCATAATTTCTGATGATTTTAAAAGAGTCAACTATAAGATTATTAACTAAAGGAAATACTCACTATTTACATGACAGTCCTATTCAAGTTTAAAGGGTTAATTTTTAACAATCAATCTGCCCATGTACGGGAAAAGGTAAGCTTACATTAAGTCAACGTAAAAAGGCTGTCAGCTTTTATGAAGTACCGTACCTACTTAGGTACGGTACTTACAACAACTACTTAACATAACACTAGTTTAGTTTATAACATTTATAACATTATAACATAATAACAACATTATAATATATTATTATTATAATATAACATTATAACATTTATAACATTTAGTTTAGTTGATAACGGTTAAACAACTTTGTTTAGCCAATATTTAGACAATAAGGTGTAGGCTACTTTAAACTCTACAGGATAGAGTTAGGCAAAAACTGGCAGAACTCTGAAATGGTGTTATTTATCATAGGCTTACTCATATGCCAAATCCTTAAAATTGCAATAACTAATAACCATTCAACACAAACCAACATCCAAAACTAAACACATTTTTAATACATTATAGATAATTTACACATTGACTGTTTTACATATGTTCTTCTTCTCACTATTAATTTTTGCTTCGCAACGGGAAAAATCTGTTTCATAATCATTGAAATAGATTTATAATAAAATAATAATCTATCATAAAGTTTAAGATTAAACAAACCTACCACATAGTTGTTTTACATGGTGGAAGGAAAATACTTTTTTTTGGATCAGCTGTCGGAATTTGTGAAATAGAAATTTGACAGTTCTAGTTGTTTACAATAAAATGTCAAAGCAAATGTAAACATTGTGAATTTTTTCATGCTTCCATGGAAACAAATTATTTAATATTTAATTTCTGACAACAGCTGGAGTTTCAAAACAATGTTTGTTTCCCATGTTAATCTTATGGAGGAATACGAAACTTTAAAGGGCCCTAGGGCCTCACTCTCTAATTATTTACCTAAAAAGAAAGTTTCCTGCACAACTTCACGTTACGCTCTTTCCAATGACACCAAAAACTTGTCAATCGGTTCAGCAGTTTCGGAGGAGTAATTGTCACAAAAATCCTGCTTGCGTATTAAATAAGTACTAGTGTACATGTTGCTCGGATTCGAGCAATTGTTAAGTATTACAGGATTTGCAAACCAATAAATTCATACTTAGCTATCAACATTTCAACAAAAACACACCTACCTTTCCTGTATGTGTTTCCTGAATGTGTTTTCCTGTGTGTGTTGTGTGTTTGTTGTGGTTGCAGCAAACCTAAGCACTCATATAAAAATTAACTTAATGTTATTTAAATAGGAAAACAATTTCCATTTTCAGGGAATATCTTTGTATAAATTAAGCCAGGTAAATGGAAATTCACTTAGGTTTGCTGCGGATACACAATTTTAATAACAGCAAAGATTAAAGAATCAGAATTATTACTTATATCCATGAATTTATCTAACAATTATTTCCTGTAAAATATTATTACAGCAGTTCAAAAATATTGAAACAAACTCGATCAACAAATGATGTAACTGAAAGAATTCCATACTAATGACATTAACATATAGTTTGACAGTTCCATTTAATCAATGTTAAATGTTTACATTCGGGCATAGACAAAAATGATTTAGGCGAGTGACATATTTTATTAATGTTTATGATCCCTACCGTTCCTGTTCTAATAATCATGCAGTATTTAATATGTTTGAACCAGCTGTGTGGAATTGTGAAATCAAAATTAATTTGACAGTTCTGCTTGTTTACATTTTTAAATTTTGTGGATTTGTTCTTTGTTACCATGGATACCATCAATAAATATTTCACTTTTAATTTCTGACAACAGCTGGAGTTTCATAACAAATTTTGTTTCCCATGTTAATCTTATGGATAAATACAAAACTTTAAAGGGCTCCAGGGCCTCACTCTCTAATTATTTCCTTAAAAAGAAAGTTTCCTGCACAACTTCACGTTACGCTCTTTCCAATGACACCAAAAACATCTCAATTGGTTCAGTAGTTTCGGAGGAATAATTGTCACAAAAAAACCTGCTTGCGTATTAAATAAGTACGAGAGGTCGTCCAGTGGTCGAAACTCGACCAAAAATATCTAATGTACTGTACTCACTTATCTATTTTCACCCCACACTGTAAATAAAACATGTGATTGGAGTTTCTTCCATTTGTTTTGATTTTCTGTTTATATTTCGTTGTTATTTCGTCACCATGGCAACGCATAAGATCCATGTTAATTTTTTCAAATTTTTAAACTCATTTTTCGTGCTTATCTTTGAGCCTATTTAAATTTATAAAGGGATTCTGCACACCTAGAGGAAAATAGCTTTCTAACGGTATGCGTAGATTTTACCTTCGATGCACACGAGCTGAGAAAAAAGGTTTTAAAGAAACATGCTTGCCTATTAATATATAGACGAGAGGTCGTCCAGTGGTCGAAACTCGACCAAAAATATGTAATGTACTCACTTAACTATTTTCACCCCACACTGTAAATAAAACATGTGATTGGAGTTTCCTCCATTTGTTTTGATTTTCTGTTTATATTTCGTTGTTATTTCGTAACCAGCATAGCAACGCATAAGATCCATGTTATTTTTTTACAACTTTTAAACTTATTTTTTGTGCTTATCTTTGAGCCTATTTAAATTTATAAAGGGATTCTGCACACCTACAGGAAAATAGCTTTCCAACGGTATGCGTAGATTTTCCCTACGATGCACACGAGCTGAGAAAAAAGGTTTTAAAGAAACATGCTTGCCTATTAATATATAGATAGATAGATAGATAGATAGATATAGATATATAGATAGAAATAGATTATGATTATCAATATATGAAATATTGAAACCCATGCCTATAAAAAGTTTTCCCTATAAAAAAAGCTCTTTCAAAATAAGTTTATATACATATTTTCATAATAATACCATTCATAAAATTGACAAGATGTTCAAATTAAATTTCCTAACCATATTTCCAGACGACAGCTACAACACGATAAACGGGGACTTCCAAGGCGGTGACTGTTTCTTACCACATACCTACATCATCAGGTGGTTGGATGTTGCTACACTACAACGCTAACAACCTAACAAAGAGTGTTACAGTTGTAAAGACTTACTACTTCTCTCATTTACAAAACATGATAGTCCTAGGGTTCCTCACGTGTTTACTAACTGTGAAGTGGTAAAATAATATGAATATACTTTGAGACCGTTGTTAAATCAATATATTTCACTGTCTAGCCTAACAGTTTGATAATGAAAGGTATGAAATGCACAATACATATCAAGGAAAGATGAACAATAATGTACCTGCTGGCTACCAAAACTGTAGCTGCTGTTATGAGTTTGTTTACAATTGTAACTTTACAATGGTCAATTGTAACTCGACTGTGATTATTTTACTAAACATATCTAGATTGTTTGATCACAATCAGGTTTAATTTAATTAGATAATGATAACGATTAATGAAGGTATTGTTGTCGAACTATGATGTTAATAGCGTACTTAAACTTGTTGAAAATAAACTATTTTGAAACCAATATTGTGTTGTTTCCGTATTCCGATAAATCTCGAGTGAAGGTTGGTGTCAAAACTGTAGGCCTATCATTGAGTAGACTATTTTTTCGTAATCCTTAGCTTTTATTTGGATAAAGATAAGAGTGTGTTGGCTGTAAACAAAGCAGTTTAAACACAACGGCAGAGCTGGGTATCTGGCTAATGGACGTGGATCTATAGACTCTAGAGGGTTTAAATTAAATCCATATCCCGTTACGAAAGAAGATTAGCATAACAGGATAAACATTTCCAGTTAGTTTCACATGGACTAAACAAACTGCTGTTTTAAACCTAACAAAACAACATCGGATCCAACGGATTTTGGCTCTCAAATCCCTGCTAAGTCTGATTACAAAACTATTTTACGGCGTCCTCGAACGATTTGTTTCATCATCGACTAAACCAACATATAATATCAAATTGTTACTAGAATTTATACGCATAATGGTAACGTTAGCTCTTTCGTAACTCGATGATTATCTTTCAACCAATTATTTTATAATATTTCTTCAAATTAAAAGTTACTTATATCCCGAAATGTTGGCGGATGTATCAATACATTATATTAAGAATATTTTAATTTATTTGTATGATAAAGTGATAAAAACGTTTGCTACTTGATCACGTTTGTTTGTTGTTCAGCGATAAAAACAACAACCAACTAGTGGCAATTAATTTCCTCCTTTCACTAACACGGTGGGGGAGATCCTTCGTTAAGTAGTAATTAGGGTTTTCAATAAATCGTCTACAAAATATTAGAAAGCATTAAATTGGAATGTTTTGGTTTAAAGATTGCGTTTGACAGCCCTTCTGGCAAATAAATTAAAATCAACTAATTTTTATAAGCTCATCGCATTTAGAGTGGGTAAGACAGTCGACATGATCTATTTGAGTTTACAGTTACAACTTAATGGAGACGTGATTTGTGATGTTTTTTATATCAGACACATAGTTTTTACACCTATAAAAAAATTAGATAAATTGCATGTCTTAAAACTTCTTTTGGTTCAATAAAATTGAATTAGGCCTCTAAGATGTCGATAAGATGACTGTTCATGACAGTAGCAAACGAGAATACTAAACTAGAGAATGCTAGTTTCTCTTTTGGTGATGACAAACACGTCTCCTACATAATCTTGAATCACGCATACCCCAAAACACTTACTAGGACAGACACAATACAGTTGTTTCTCATACTTATCAACTACCATTTAGAATTAACAGTTAATAGGAGGTAAAGCAACAAGGATATTGCAAAAGTTATTTTACTAAAAGAATATATTAAAATCTGAACATTGATATGCAAGCTGATTCGTGTGAATCAAAATTAGTCAAATGGCCTCAAATCAATCAACAATTGTTTTCTACTCGAGAAAGATCACTACGACAGCTAGAAGCAACGGATGCAATTAGTCCGCTTTGTCAGCTGATAACTGTACCTGGCTTTGGCATTTACACATGAATACGACTGTAACTATTGTCCAATCATTGGCACTAGCACATGTTAAGTAGGCGAGAGAAAGTAGCATCATTGACAACGCAGAGCAAAAATGTACACATAGGCCTCTACACAAAAATTTAAGAACCTTGGTACCTATGACATATTCTTTTTGTTGTTGTGAGGATGTTTTAGCACAGAGGAACAAAAACTATAGATTCCTCTATTGTATTGGCCTTCTTCTGTGAATTTCTAAGCTACGCCTAACCAGTCACCATTCGAAGAAGCTCCTACGAGGTTCGATAAGAGACGCTGGAGGGCGACCTTGTAGGTCTTGGTCAGGGTCGTCCACCACATTCCCTTCCACACAGTCACTCCTCACTCCTCTCATTCATGAGAAAATTCACTTTATGAATAAGTCGAGTTCCAGGAAAGTGTTATCAATGTTTCTGCTACTTGATCATTGGTATTGCCATTATCAAAGACTATTTTATAATCTTTGTAGGATTTTTACTCATATTGAATGCCTTCACACTTAGTATTAATTCATATAATATACAGGGCGTCCTGTAAGTAAACAGCCAAACTCAGGAAATGGTTCTATGGGTCAAAATACATAGACTATTAAGAATATCAAGTTGTATAATGAGTCAAACCTGACTAGCTCAGTCCTATTCCACCCAATTTTGCAACTAAAAATCTTAATATTATTTCAGTTATTTTTATTCGGTCTTGTTGAATTTGGTTTCGTTTAATCGGAAGGTTAAAATGCTAAATAAAAGTGTTCTTGACATTTTACTCATTAAATCAGCGATTATTTTTAGTTCATTTAAATTTTTTTAAATGTAAATGGCCACCATTTTGAAATTTTGATTTGAATCAAGATAACTTTTTTCCTAACATGGGTCTCTTCTACTTTCACATACATACATACCAAGTTTCATAAAGATCGATTCGAAAAATCCAAAGATAAAGCTGTTAATGTGAAAAGTACAAAATTGTGGGTATCTGGTTAACAAAGCGACTTAGAAAAAATGTTATTCCTCATTTTCTTTTTAATTTGCCCCATGAACTATTTCCTGGAGTTTGGCTGTTTACTTACCAACACCCTGTATATCGCATAATGTAAATACAGTAGTAGTCTTACGCCAACAAAATATTCCAAACAAGTAAGATGGTAAAAGTAGTGTTATTATTGCTTTTAAAGCAAATATTTTTACTTAAAAGTGAGTGAATGATTTTAAAATTTAAGTCATTAGCAGCGTAGTTACTATTCTGTTCAGTTAACTGTCAAAACAATGTTCATCCAAAGCTAGAGAGAGATAATTAGAAACGCTTGGTTTCAATTGCTGTAATTGCTACTGAAACTCGTAGACAACAGACCAAACTCCTCAACTGTCGTTCTAGAAAACATGGTGTCTTAATTATATTAATACTTTAGTCTTTTAAAGTCTCTATATTTTATGAATCATAGAAAAAGCCCAGGGTAAGGTAAGTTTATGTTTTATAATCATATTTTGTTCTATGCATTATGTAAAAGCCAAATAGTGTTTAATCCCAGACATATTTATTGCTCGGTCACACTGCTATATTTCTGGATTTCTACTTCACATGGTTGAACAACTTATTCACAAATTGTAGTATAAATAGGGGAAAAATTACACTATAATAATAACTTAACTGAAATGCCACCATTCGTTGTTTGTTAAATTAAACAGTATTTTAAAACATGCAGCTATAACGATTGTATGTGGCTTACAAGCTTACAACGATGTAAAGAAATACATCATACCATATACACCTGAACAAGTTATATGCAAACATTGCGCAATATTTTTTTAATAGCCAACATGCTACTCAGACTTTATTCTATCTAACGAAGCTTTATTGATAACAAGTTGAACGTTAGAGGTTCGACATAGGAACTAGGCCGGTGCGACGGATGTGTACACGATGTTCAGAAGTGCACGTGTTCACATGTTCAGATGTTCATCGCATGTGTTTATGTGGTTCACCACTCCGCACCGTCCAGTCATGTCAACACACATTTCACGCTATAGCTGTCACTAGGAACCCATTAGGATTTAAACTTTCTGTAAACATGTTGTGTAGTTTGGTCCATCTTTTAGCGGGACTTATAAACACGTTTCAATTTGTGTAACGCTTTTTAACAGCAATATAAGATGTATGAGCAAAACATATTTTCATGGAACTACCTACCTCAATGTTGCTTTTAAAAGAAGTTAAACTTCTGCAAGATAATCCGTTAGATTATTGTCTTAATAATGTTCGATACGTTTGAATCGATGAAAGACTAACTACTACTTTCAATTACAATTTAGTAGTAACATTTGTATAATAAAAAGTATTATAAATAGCGAAAAAGTTGGTAAACCAAGGTTCATTGCCCGTCATTGTGACTACGTCTATAAGCTACATGCTGGAGTTTGAGGTGAAGAAGATAAGAATTAGCATATCGTCTGTAAGTCTCCGCCAATGTCCCTATTATAGGTAAAGTTGAGCTCGTCCAACGGTATTGACTTGGCGAACTACACAACTGTCGTTATGCTGTAGAAACTAACTTTCAATAGTGATTCTATAACTATCACATACCTATTACTCACACAACTATGTGTATTGGCGTCGGCGAATTCCCGGGACAACTATTCTACCAAATATCTAGCTATTGTTTCAAGAACTTGAGGTATTGAGACACAATACCCAAAACTTAAGTCAATTCAGAGGTGAAAATGGATGGTATGTAAGATAGGAATAAGAATTGGTACTTATTTTGAATTAACCTTTTGGTCTACTGACGTATTTACAAAACTATAAGAACATATTTTTAACTAAATGGCATGTAACATTTCAGTTTAAAATTCATTTATAAATCAAATAAAAACAGTGTATTTATATTGCAATCTTTGGCACTAGCACATGTTATGTAGGCGAGTGAGAGCAACACCGACAACGCTGAGCAAAAAAGTTACCAATACAAAATAATAATACAGTAATGAAGAACCTTGATCTCTCTAATACATTTCCCCGTGTGATTGTAATGGAGTTTTAGTTCAACAACTATACAATCCTCAGTTTTTTTTTTTGTTTTTTTTTTAACTTAACTCCTTATTTCCGAATACCCAGTCACCTTAACTCTGTGGTATGAATTTGATAACTAAAATTTCGAGTTTAGAGAAGAAGATGCCAATAACTGTGTTGGTGCTTTTATATCACTACAATGCGTAATTATTTAAAGCGTCATCGATCTTTATTATTACTACAGCTTAGTAATAATAGAGATCGATGTAAAGCGTTAATCGCTGTGTCAAGAGGTCTGATTTAAACAACATGATTAGCATATGTTTAGATTTGTTTAACTTCGAATGTTCGGCACTTTATATTGCATAATGCATTAACAATTACCTTTTAGGCAATACCCTCCACCGTAACAAACCAGCAGACTAAGTGCCTTTCCAATAAATTGTCTAGTTGGAGTTTCATTATATTTCCAGACTTATTCCATTAATAACATCAAGTTTGATGAGT